TTTACTCTTTATCGGTCGATACTCTTTAATCCCTGAGATGATGCTTTTCTCTCATGAACTCAGAATAGCCCTTCCTCCTCCCCAGTGAAGCCACAGGCCCATTACTCTTTATTAGCTCTTATCGTCTTAAATGTGGGCATCCATTAGAGGCATGGCAACAAACACTCGCAGCTGGTCTCTCAGTGGGCTGCAGACAAACACACGTACACAAATTTAAACTGACCTTAAATCAAGAGCAATTATATTGCATCGGATTCAGCTCATGTCAGAGATAAAGAAAACTAACCCAAACAGCATGTTGCCTTCAGAGATTTTGGAGCCTTACAGTGTGGCTGTGTCTCTCTCCTTCATGACTCGTGCTCACCAGCTCGGCAGACTCCACAGACCGCTATCTGCCTGAATGATTTCTTCTCTATGGAGGCTGACATGAAGTAATACCATACTGTGTTGTGTATTGATTCTTCTTCCAGTCCCTCTTTCTTGAATTTCTTTGTGGCTCAAAAGCATAAATCATCTGCAAATGATCCTTGAAGGAAATATTGTATTTATTATTCTTGACGCATGGTCACAAATTCAATAGCCCTTATTAATTGAACATGGTGAGAAATATGATGTGGGTAATTCAATGGGACTGCGGAGCGTTCTGTCATCCCTCATGTTTAAGACCTTCCTGTTTGGCATTCATGGCAAAGTGCAAGACTGAATCAGGCTCACAAAGAGGGTCAAAGAGTGTAATCGTAAACTTCAATAAACAGCCTTTCTCTGTCATCATTTCCATTTTTCACTGTGCTTTTTGGGTCAGAGAAAATCACATGTTGACTACCAAAACCAGAAAATCCCCTTTGTGTTTGATTTATGTGTGAGATGATAAAAACCAGGTATCATAGTGAAAGCAACCGATTTTTCTACTTTTGAGTTTCCTTCTCTCATGCCTTATATCCCTTCTGTCCTGACATGTGTGGTGAAGCGCAGAGTTGAGCAACCAATGCTGGAACCACTCAGGCAGCCATTCACTACGGTGCCCACCCACATTTCTGCAGTCGGGAGTGGGCAGCGGGAACGGGCCGTCCTTGCTGGTGTCCTTTGTTGTGACTGTTCATTTACTCAGCCCCAGTGTGTGTGAGAATGTTTCGCTTTGCTCTGCCAGTCCTGTTGTGGCTCTGCATATCCTAGCGTGAAGCCTCAGTCACAGGATGAGTGAACCTATTCTGCGGGGCCTGCCAGCGCTCATCCGGGACCATACCTCTCCACCATCCTCCATCCATTTCTAAGGATACCAGAAAGAAAAAGTGGAAAGCTTAAATGGTCAAGAGTGGCTTTTTTTTGTATTTTTCGAATGGCAACCAAAGTAATCGGTGCTAAAGTATTTTGTAGGGCCAGTTTATAGTATATGCTTGTATATTGCTTCAGAAAGTAGATTACAGAGAAAATTGAGCAGCACTGACTGAGATTCCAAATCAATTTCCTCTGAGGGACTCATAGATTGACTTTCAGTGAGGTGTGTTATGGCCAGAATGTCTGTGCTTGTTAAGTCCCAGGCTTATTCAATCTGTCAAATACATCTTGTTTTAGGTGATTGGACTCTCCTAGAATTATAAGAGAGGCAAACCCCGGAACTGAACTGCAGCAGTTGAGTGAATGCCTGCAGATCCCTGCTTATCCATGTTTTAGGTATCATTCCGCATCTTGTGTCAGGATGTTAAAGTTTACTGGGGAACCCTAAATCGCTTTTAAAAAAGAAGATTTGATGTATCACACACAAATCCAAAATGTCAACTTCAATTTGCTGGAGATGAAAAATCAGAGGCTCGCTAAAGTCATTGGGATGAATTTCACAGGATGTGGCAACGCATCCATTAGTTGTAGAGAGATTTCAGTCCGGATGAAAACAGCAAACTGCGTGACAAACAGGACAATATGGTTATCCCCCGCGCAATGGATCTGTACTACTGTGGGGGGAAAAAACAACAACTTAGACATATCGATCTGTCATTTGTCCCATTCACCAATAATATACTGAAGCAAACATCCTTTGTTTTTGAGAAATGCTGCGATAACCAGCATCTCACAAGCAAGAGGTCCCTCACCGCAGAAAGAACTCAGCAGGGTTACTATATAATAAAAAAAAATTTAAAATGAAGAGAGAAATTCAAACATTTAAATTTACAGGCTCAGCAAAATGTTGGCTCTGCTTTACTGCATTTATGCTTTAATGCCTTAAAATATGGGAGTTTAATTAAACATGATGCAGATCACAGAATGGATGCATACATAGGTTTTAGTTTTTGGTGGAATTATTTAAATTATTTCTGTTGTTTTTGCATGTTTCCATCACTTTTAACCTTTAGTTAGCCATCAAACATGATTTTCATATTGGATGGAAGGTTGCCATCAAGATAAAAAAACAAACATTTTAATGTATGCTTTTTTCCTTTTTCCTTTTATTATTCTTATTTGTCCTACTTGTTAAGATTTGTCAAATCTTTGTTTGAATATTTATATATGAATTCATTTATAAATGGATGAGTGGGTGTATAGAAATACAGTAGAAAGAGTACTCGGATTCACATTACTAATACTTCATGATTTCACTTTCTTTGGTTCAAAAAACAAAATAGGTGAAAGAAAAGTTCTGTTCTTTGTAAAACTGTTGCTATTTTGTGTGCAGTTCCCTGAGCTTTGACTATACTTCTGTACAAGTACTTGGTTTTAGATTTTATCTTCCGTTTTGCAGTTGACCAACACCATCTTCATTCAGACGAGGTACAGATTTAGTCTGTATGCTAAAAGCGTGTGCCAACAAACAAAAAAAGTTTCTCTAGAGAGAGCAAAGGTGCGTCTCACTGTGTTGCATGCTGGGAGAAGAGTACAATAATTTGAAGAATATGTCTGCCAGGGGCTATTGTTCCAAGGAGGTTTTCTGCTTTGTTGTGAATAAAGGTTCCAGATCTAGTGGAGAAAAGGTGAGAAGCAGACAGGAAAAGGAGAGAGAAGGAGGACCGGGCCGCGGCTGCTTGGGGTCCAGCTCATTCAGCTCATTTAAACAATGACCTAAACGGTGTGCCAGAAGCTACAAACAAGCCGACCTGCTGATGACAAGGAGCCTGTAGGACAGGACATACACTGGCATGAGCCTTATTTCTTCCAGCCTAAATATTTCATATACTCTCTTATTCACAAAATATGTATTATGAAGCCTGTTTAAGCCACTTATTATGTATCCAATCAGCTATCCTAATCTGCCAACAGCTTGCCTGCCTTTTTTATTAATCAATATAAGGTTTGGCCAACTTTACGTGAAGGCAGTCACATTTATTACAGTCCCATAGAGAGTGAGTTGCATTCTTTGCTGTCACATTAATTGAGATTTGAGAGCTTAGCAGCTCAGTGAGTATAGTGATGCCACCCATGGCCCGGAGGATGAATTTGTTCCTGAGTGCTCTGTCTTCTGGACTGTAAAGCTTTTCGTTTACCAGCACCGTTTTGCTTTGTGTGGAACAATGCCTTATGCCAGCAATTGGCGCGGAGCTCCTGCTTGTTCATGAAAAATACAAATGACCGTGCATTGTTGCGCTGCTCCAAAGTGTTTCCTATTGTACAGCCAGGGTCTGGATCCACACTGAAAAGGAGGAGTGTCTGCTCCCTTGAATCTCTACAGCGTGAGGGGCAGCAGTGCTGAGGTCACAGGGAGTGCGATTAATCACAAAGTGTTGACTGATTTCTTACCTGTGTGGACGTTGATTTACAGCAATGATCAAGTAAAATAATTACTCCTGCTGTGAGCATGAAGATGGAAGTGGGCTGAGGGTGTGTAATTATGAAGAAGACTGATCTTAAGAAGGTCAAAACCAGCTCTTGTTGTGGTTAAAAACCATCTCCTTCCTGATAAAGCATGTCACAGCAGTTCCCTCGTTACCTCGCTCAACACTGCAGGACTATTTTCTGGATCTGAGTTGGTTATATCACACAGCGAATCTGCTCTTCTATGTCAACACACTTATTATCTACAATTAGAAATGACTCATTATATATAGTAACAAAGCAAAACACAAGCTTATACTCCCATGACGCAGTTTTTTAGCCTCCAATTAGAATATTCTAATCTTTTAAGAACTTCGAACTAGGGGTCAACTTCCTGGGAACTTTATGCCTGGCAAACAAAAGGCCTTGAGTGCCTTCCATTTGTGATTCATTTTTCTCAATTTAGGAGGATGGAAATTAGCTCATAATCCTTCCTGAATTGATGGACACCAACAGTTGCAACAGTTATTTTTCCTCAGTGCCACTTTGTTTTTGCCCACCTGAATTCTTCAGACCATAAAGCTGCCAAATGCTGAGGTTTTGATAGAGCTGATAAAACTTTGACTCGATCAGCAGCACCAGAGCGAGACTTAACCCTCTTAATCAACATGGACGCAGTAGGGGAGTGTTTATTGTTTCTAATATTGACCCTGCAATTTGCCTTTTTTCTTACAGTGAAAGCTCTGAAATGTTGTGGTGTTGGTCATCTTTTTTCTTTTTTTACTGCATATAAATGGTAGCAAGAAAATAATGGGAAATCGTACACCGTAGAAGTTGATACTTCATTAAAAATAACTGACCTAAATGAAAAACTGATCTGTTGCAATAAATTGTACAAAAATGATAAATGATGACATCTGTTGAACTGAGAAAATGACCAGATTATTTTCATTATATGAAACTCTACATAAAACATCTGGAGTACAGTTGTTGAGTGAATTGATGAGTAATTTAAGTCTAATAATTTCTCCAGATTGAAGAGTTTAATACATTTAGAAGTATTAGTACAGTGTTGACTTAATTATTAAGGTTTAAAACACACACAAAAACAGAAAAAAACATGAATGCAACCCATTCCCCTAAAGACCAAAAAACGCATGCTTTTTGGTTTTGAGTTGTTTTTAAAAGAACAAGATTATTTGCTTATTTTCTCTAACGCAGCATTTCTCCTCTGTCTTTTAGTAGCCGACTGTCGAGTGTTGGAGGGTTTGCAGAGATATTCCTCCATCCCCACATATCTGCCTGTCAACTATCATCTGCTAAATGCTGACTTGGCATTTTTCCTGAAGGAAGCCAACCAGGACTTTATGAGGAACTCCACCCTGGTTTCACGGACTGAGCCTTTCTTCATCTATCAGGCCAGGAGTCCGCCCTCTGTGAACGCTAGCTACGGCCCTCTCTCTGTGGAGCAGCCCGTTCCCGTAGAGCTCCTCCAGAGTCCCGGGACCTTCCCCGCCTCTTCGGTTTTTACCTTCAACTGGAAGGTGCTGACCTTCATCATGAACACCCAGATTCACTTGGCCAAGCCTCAGGTCCAGGTCCTGTTCTATGTGGCGGGCAGGGACTGGGACGACTACAGCGCCATCAACAAGCTGCCCTGCGTGCACATGTTTGCTTTCCATGAAACCCAGGAGGTGCGCGGCACCTGCCAGCTCAAAGGGGGGCTGGGGCTGTGCGTCGCAGAGCTGGAGCCGCTGGCCAGCTGGTTCAGCCCGCCCAGCGTGGTGCCAGGACGGCAGAGGAATCTGGAAATGTCCGAGGGCACCCCGGTGGAACTCTACTACACGCTGCAGTCCACTGAAGCAGGCGAGTGCCACTCGGAGGAGTCCAGGAAAGACAGCTTCATCCGCTCAAGTCAGGAGGGGCTGTTTGGTTCCTATACCTCCACCCCACTGAGGAGGATTGGGGGCATCAGGCTCTACCAGAACCCCATCGAGCCCCCGATTACCGAGCACAAGCTGGATAATAACTTCATGGTTATGGTGCCAGCCAAACCCATGAGGCAGAGGGAGACGGTGTCGGCTTTTATCGCCGTCTCAGCCTACTCCACCGTGGAGATGTTCACGCTCAGGTAAGAAAACCTCCCTCTTTGGTCCTCTAGCCGTTGTTAGCTGACTGAACAGCTGGAGCTCCACAGGATTTCCTCCCTCCTCTGTTACTCTCTATGATTACTGCTGGCTAAACCCTTTAAGATTCAGGAATCACTTATCACAAGCTATTTTTTGTTTTCCCACCAAATAGATTTTTTGTTCCATTTACAGAAATCCAACCTAATTAGCTCTAATTATAGAGAAACATAACAATACAACAAAAAAAGCTAAAAAATGGTAGGAGACCATTTAACCGACTGCAACAACTACTTAATGACATTTAAAAAATTAGTTGAAGCCACGTAAAAAAAAATTCTCAGTTGTTACAGTAATAACACACAACTCTAATGGCTGTTGACAACCATTCGAATATTAGTTACTGTCAGTATTAGCCTGTAAGTGAATAGCCGGAAAGTGTTTAGAAATGTTGGCTTATAATATTTGCGAGGGCCTATAAGGACATGCTGGAAAATTATTATTATCTACTTTGCTAAGACAAATTAGCCAAACACAAACAAACTCCAACACTGTGTCGACACATATGTTAAGGTGTCTCATCAGCTCTTTCACAATGTTGCCTCGACAAATAGTGCGATATTTTCTGAAGGGTTGTGTGGTTTTGAGGAGAATGCAAACATTTATGAGCTTCAGCTTTTATCTGAAGGGTTTTTGCAATGCCTGCAAGTTATGTTGGATTTTTTTTTCACATGTCGTAAAGTTGTTTTGCTGCCTTAATATTGAACACACCATGAAGTACATGGAGTAATTCCTTAATATGATGTTCAGGACAAGCAGAGTCATCACTTTGAAATATCTTGAATTAGTGGAGCTGTTGATGGGCCCTTATCAAAATGCACAGATATTACGTTTTAGGATAATAAACATATAATGCAAATGAGGATGTCATCAATTAAATGGGCTGTCCATTAGTGTAATGACTAAGGCTGATCCTAATAACACCCGGAGTAGAATTCTTATTTACTGCCATAGATACTCAAACTGGGCATCAGACCAGTTTTTAAGTCATATTAAATATAGATGCAAAAAACATTGAATGAGTAGCTTTTGTTAAGGCAAGATGTCAACCAGACATTTAGAAATATAAAGTGTTGACATTTAAATCCAGCCGTTGTGTACTTCCTCTCCTATTTTCTTATCTACATGTTTATTAATTGAGATGATTTCCCCAGCTGACAAAAGAATGTACAGTCACATGAGACTATAAATTGGAACCAAGGTAAACAAGATTGTAATAGCTATGAAGCTTTAAGGAAAATAAATTCTCCTGACCCTTCCGTCTTGTGTTCCATTTAATCACCAACTAGTTGTCCTAAGGCGATAAGAGAATGGAAACTTTTTAGCCTTTTTCCACACTGAGAAATTATTTGTTTCCTCAGAAAAATGAATAAGCCACGCAGGCCACAGAGGCAATGCCTGTGGTGATTTTATTTGGCAGCGGGACACATGGCAAGTGCAGGTTAGCCGTCTGAGGGTGATAGATATGGAAAGGCCTCTGTGTGGTCCTCCGCGATAAGGTTGTCCTCATACATGCATTTGTTAGGACGCTTAATCAACAGACCATGAAGACTTTGATCTCTGTATTCACAGCGTCATTATCATCTGTGTACTACACGCTTCTGGGTCAAGCCTTGTTGGCTGTATCCACAAATACAGGATGAGCTCATGAGCCTATGACATTGTCAAACAGACCGGGTGCTACTTTAGTTTCTTTAGTTAATTAGATTCTTGTTTCTTTTTTTAAATTGGAAAATTCAAAGTTTAGCCCTTCATTTTTAAATGCATTTCCTCCATAAGTTGTTGTGGTGTAATTATGAATGAAAAATGTGTATTAAAGTCACTCCTGGATGAAAAGGAGTTCGTTTAGACAGGAGTTACAATGACCACCACAGCAAATTGAGTTTTCGCCTTTGTCTGATACATTATGCTGAAAGGCCCATGTTAATGTTAATGAAAGCTAATTTCTCATATTTTTAATAGCCAATCATCCGGCCAATTTACTTCTTTGTGGATGCTCAGCATGAGTTTGCTTCCTGGGGTATTCCTGTGTTGACATGCTACTTTTAATTTGATGCTTTCTGATTTGAGTTGACCTCCGCTGTGTTAATAGCTCCTGCCACTCAGTAGCTTGAAAAGTTTGTTTCTTTATCAAGGAGTTTATGTACCAAAAAAAAGGGCTTTATTAATTCTTTTTGTGGAGCTCTAAATGGTGCTGCTTCTAGTCAGCACGTGAGTCATCATGCCAAATGACTACATGTCTCTTCCCTGTCTCCACTCTCTTTGATAAACCATCACGCATGAGAGAAAATGACAAGATATTAACATGACATCTATAGACGAGCATGTTGAATTGTTACATCAAAAGACTATTTTTTTCGACAAATCTAAATGCGTCATTCCCATGTATTTAGATCAGAGAGCACTAATGTTTAAAGATTTTCTCAAGGTAGTGTAATGAATACTCGATTAATCTAAAATTCCTTGTTTAAGTCACCATCTAGTCAAATCTCATGTCACTTGTATATATGTGATACGTGTAGCCATATGTATCCTATAATTAGTAAGATGCTAATGATTCAGTGTAGAGTAAGCATTCAGGGCTATGGGCAGTCTTAGGGCACTGATTTCATGTAGGGAGATGTGTGCAGGATGTGAGCAAAAAAACAAGAAAGAAGCTTTGGTGGTCCATTAGTATGTCATGATGTTTCTTTTTTTTTAAACGTTGTGAATGTTAACATGATCTGAATGAAACTGTATCAGATTTCACTGATTATTTCCGCAGTATTAGCTGTATTCAGATTCACTGACATGTCAATTGGCAACAGACGTGGAGCCAAACTAAATAGTAAATAGTAGTGCTGCTTTTTTTTACTTTATGTTATTTAACATGACAGCTGTTTGTGAAGGAAAAATAAATTGAAAATGGTGAACATCAGTCAGAGTTTCTTCAGAATATATTGAACATCAGAAACTTTATCTCATCAAATGGGGAAATGGATGGATGGTCTGTGCCGCCTCAGTAGAGCTTTCTGGAGGCAGAACACTGGCTACTAAATCTCCTCTACTAGCATATTATCTAAACTGGGTTTGACACAGACTTTTTCACAAAAATGCAGGCATGATAAAGTCCAATTCATGTCTTGTGTAACTGATTCAGAAATTTATAGTTCTATTTATTGCGCCAAAATTGTGGAAGAGTAAAGCATTTCAATGCAGATGCTGAAATACAGTGAATAGCAGGCTGTATACTAACAAAATAATTCAATCTGATATTAAAAGGGAATAGAATTTGAATGTGAAAGGCCCAAAATAAACCAAAGACTCAATTAATGCTGTATTTTTTAAAGAAATATGTACTTTCCCACTCCTTAGAGTGTAAAACCTTGTGATTTAAAAAAAAAATGCAGAGTTGGCCCAGTTGCTGGTGAGTCAACTGAGGGAAGACACTGAAAAGTCAGTTAGGAATATGAGGCCATTAAATTCACTATGCAAGTAATGTATAAGCTGAAGTCATTATCATAATATGTTTTCTGGTATCACTGTGCAAGCAATTTAGATTGTAATGTGTCATTGATAATTCATTATTATCCCTCTGCATTATATGGTTCATATGCAAATCAAATGCGGCAAAGGAAATGATTTTAAAGGATATTTTCCTCATTCTGTCTCCAGTGGTATAAAGAATGAAAAAAAAAACTGTAGCACAGAATAAAAAGAACAGACTACAAAAGAAAATTGCTCTATTTTGCTTCTTGGTTCAGCGCCTCCATACAGTGTGAGTCACCAGATAGTGAGGCCCATTACACGTGCCTTGTCCCAGATGAACTCAGTCATTATTTTAAGAATAGATTAGTCTATTTAAGTAACATATTTCAACACATTGCATGGGGGGTTCCTGTCGCGCCTTGCATATTTCTCACCTCGGTGTATATGTATATGAACCGATAATCAGACATTTGAGCTAGTCTGCTCATTTGTTCCACTTTTCAGCTCAGTGCCGCTGAAGAGCTGTCGTCCACTGTTACAGCCGAAAATGACTCAGATTACTTGAAGCGTTCCCCTGGGTGTATTTACTGGATTCTAAACAAAGTTATCTCTGAGCTTTAACCATGTCTTTGCCAGAAATGCACGAGTGCACCTCCCCTCATGTAAAACTTTGATGTGCAAAATGAATTGATTTTAGTTGGAGAAAAGAGCTAAACCTTCCCCATGAATATCTCAAACCATAACACCTTGGGTGCAGTGTGTTTTGCAAGTTAGAGCGAAAAGAAACAAAGCATAAGGAAGTTATTGGGAAATTCATTTTGAATCATAAAAAATGTTTGCTGAACTGCATTTTGCACATTACCCTTGTTACACAAAATCCGAATTTCAATACATGGCCACTTTTCACAACACTTTAGTTTTGTTATGATAATAGATTCAGGGATGAGCGGTGAATAAGAAATACTCCTCTGAAGTAACCGAGGTGACCCATTTCTATGACATTTAACAAAACTGGCACTAATAAATATAAAGCATGTGAAGTGACAATTAAATAATGTGGATATTCATTTGAAATCTTAAATGCACACACTATATAATTATGACACAAAGTTAAATTCACTGTCACTGTAATGGTAATTCAGTGGTCAGAAGAAGGTGACCTGTTTTACGTGTGTCCAAACTGATATGCATCCAGTTAGAACTGACAATGAAACTAACAAAGATGGTAGCTTTTATTGCTGTTGTTTTTCCTTTAGCCACATTTCGTCTGCAGTTTTTTTGGATCTGTGTCTGTTGTGAATTCTGTCAATCGTGTGGAAAAATAGTGACAACACTTGAAGGTTGTTTTTGTGCGTCTTCATGTCTTCATTGCGTGTCCTCAATCCTAAATGTGTTTGACAATTATGTGATGTGAACATGTTGTTCTTGCTGGCTCAAATATTAGGAAGCAAACACGTGTTCTCTTGTAAACAGGCAGGCAG